AGCGGGGCGCGGCGGGGCCCGGCTGAGCAGCGGCCCTCAGCGCCGTGCAGGCTTTGCGCAAGCCGGTGTCACAAATGCGGTGGGCGCGTGGGCTTTGTTTCACTGAAGCCGTTGTTTTGGGTGATTTACTAGCGATCGAAAAACGGGTTTGCTCCGGTTTAATTAACGAATTGATTAAAATTAACTAACGGAAATGTTTTAGCATAAAAACTGTGCTGTATCGGTCCCCTTTTGAGTTTCTAAATGCGTGTGTTACTTCTGAAGTGCATTGCAAATTCATCCAGTTTTAGAAACGTCTGTTTTCTGCTTTTGGTCATGATGTTGTTGGATGATGCCTTGGAGGATTATTCTCATCTGCACAAAATCACAGACTTCTGGTGAGGAGAACTATCTTTAACACGGAAGGGACTGGGTAAAACCCCTTGTTTGGGGGGTTTCCATGTGTTTATGGGATTTCTACATGTTCATATGCACTGTATTTTTTATATTTTTAAAGATGAAAAAATAAAAAAGCTGAAATTTCAGAGAGTGGACTGGCTTACACTAGCGCTTTTTACTGAGCTGGCAATAGCCCCTGTAATCATCCTCACCATTGCATCTGTTGGTAGCAATATTTTATGTCTCTAATCTCATATGATCTCACTGTGGTATCAAAGTCCTTTAGAATAAACCAGTTTGATCCTGGCATGGGCTGGGGCTCTTTCTCCAATCAGCATTTAAGAATGTGCTGCTTTTTATTTGCGTAAAGCTGCCTAACCAGTTTTTTTGCAGGCCTAATGGATTAAATTCTACTTCCCGTTTCCTTAGCAGAGATGAAGTATCGGGGCGCTTTTTCTGTTGTTTGCCTTCGGAGCAGCCCCAGTTCTCCTGCGTCGAGCAGCTGAGAGGCAGGTACGCAGTGTCTTCTCAAACACTGTAGTATTTTTTCCAGGAAATCTTAGTCATGCTAAAGCAGAGCCTATTTTTTTTCACTTTTGGACTAACTTTAACTGGAAAACCTTTTTGGATAAAAGGTAAGCTTTCCGTTTTTGTTAGGTATTCGGAAAGTTTCTCTGAGTCTTCTTGTACTCTCTGGTCCTGATCGTAACACCTTCCAAATCGAGTCACCGCTCTCCCCAGGTATTCGGCTATTAGCTGGCCTGCTAATTGAGAAAATCTTGTTCAAGAAAAATCTTTTCCTTGTCTGGTTGAAGCTTTTTATAGTTGAGCTCTTTGGTTGGGGTTTTTTTTCTCCAGGTCATAGTAGGTACATAAATACATCATCTTCCGTAGAGGACACCGGTTGTGGCAACTGCAGTTACTGTCACTCTCATCGACCGTAATGACTGGAGAAAAAGGTTTTGATCTTCAGTAATGTGAGGGAAATTCCTACTGTTTTGGTTTAGTTCTTCATTAACTCATTTCCATGTATGATTTGGCTTCAGATTTTAGATTTAGATGTAACACCTGAAATATTTCTTAGAAAGTGATATTTCTATGATTTGCGTTAAAGACAGTTTCCTGCTTTCAGGTGTCAAAATTTCAATTGTTAGAACTGCATTTCCACTGTTAGTTCAGCATGCACTTAACTCACGAAACCGAATAGATTCTGGGATTTATTCACTGGAGATTAAGAGCAAAGTCAGGAGTAAATACTGAGTGCCGACATTCTTTTCAGACCTGTTTGCTAATAGCAACTTCCACATTTTGATTGCAATGGCAGTCTTTAATGTTAAAAACATGCTACCTGCACCTAGCGTTTAAAAATCCTGATGTTATTTCATAGTCAGAGATCATAGTTACACTGACCCTCCTTGCTTTCAGTGGCTGATTCTGTGGCTTCTTTGCAATCACGAATTCCTTTCACAGAATTGTGGGAGGCTGAGGTTGGCTTTGTGCTACTATACATGAGCAGATATCTCTTTGTTTCCTTATAAAAGAAAAAAATCAACACTTTAAAACCTATGCTAGTGTTGATTCTGTAACCTGTTTAAAAGCAGTGTTTGTGCCTCTGTTAACCAAAGTGAATACTCAGACCAACCAAAGTGAATAGTCAGACCAAACCCATGAGCAGACAAGGCACAGGAAGATAAATTCAAGTTTGGCCAATTTCTATAAAAAGTCACTGGAGACTGTTTTTGTCTTTATAAAACTTCACCTGAAACCATCAGCAGACATCTTATCTTTAGCTTCCTGCGCTAGCTTGATGCTCTGGAGATAATTCTGATACAATGGAAAAGACCTCTTACAAAGGTCTGACTGTCGCTGGAACACACAAAATGCAGCGTTAGGCCGTGGCAGGGGGCAACGTGATGAACCAAGATTATGCACATGGCAGAATTACAGCCAGAGGACAGCTGGATGAATTCCTCAATCAGGGCAACGGAGAAAGGAACAGGAGCAAAGGGATTTAAACGGAAAGAGAGCGCTGAAGGGGGAGTTGATTTAATTGAGGAAAGGACAGAAGGAAGTAGAGGCACGAGCAAGAGGGAGGAGATGAGCAAGTGCAGGACCCAGCAGTAGCCAGAAGGTGATACCACAGCAAATGGCTCTGTAACCAGTAAAAAACATTCCCTGGTGTGTTTAGGGACTGAATTTATTCTTCTGGAGATTCTCCAATTCTCTGTCTAGCAATTTCTGAACCATCCTGGCAAAGTTGGATGCACCATTCAAAATAGTTGTGCTCCACGTCCATCAGCCACCCTAAAGAGCCCTGCTGTAGATTTACAGATCGGCACGGTCCTCCTGGCACCGCCAAGGTGATTTCACAAAGCCTGATGAAACTTGATTCCATTTGAGATGTTAGCATCTCTTGTGCAGTTGATTTTAACTGGCCAGCAACTTCAAAAATTACAATGAGGGGACAGAAGGGTGGACAGAGAAGGTAGTTGCGTGAATTTTCTGTGGTACACCAGGTTAGAAGTGTAGGTCATGGAAGAAAAAATGTTTCAAAAATGACAGACAATGTTACCAAGTTAATAATCCAAGTTAGAATATGTGACAGATTGTGTTTAAATCATTTGATAGTTTTTCTTTGTGTGCTCCGGAAGACCCCAGCTTTCATCTGAAGTTACTTTTTTTAAATGTCTCACCATTCCTAAACTATTTCTTCATCACTATCAAAGTATGCAGTGAATAGAGGAAGGGATTTTTTAAATTATTTTTCTTATTCTTGGGATTCTCTATTATGTTATTGTCATATTGGTTGAGGGATTTTTTTTTCAAACAATAATTAATTTGGTTTGATATTGTCTATATGAAGGAATGAGAAAAATTGACCTGTTATCCCAGTTTATAATGTAAGTAACTAAGACCAAGATTGCCAGCCAGTTTTGGACACCCCGTTTAAGAAAACTTTTTCCCGAATTTGCAGTTTTTAACACTACATGTCAGTGGAGGAAAAGAAGGGGATCAGGAGTACCCAGCATGGATTCACTAAGGGGAAATCATGCCTGACCAATCTGATAGCCTTCTATGATGGCATTACTGGCTGGGTAGATGAGGGGAGAGCAGTGGATGTTGTCTACCTTGACTTCAGCAAGGCTTCTGACACTGTCTCCCATAACACCCTCATAGGGAAGCTCAGGAAGTGTGGGCTGGATGAGTGGACAGTGAGGTGGATTGGGAACTGGCTGAATGTCAGAGCTCAGAGGGTTGTGATCAGCGGTGCAGAGTCTGGTTGGAGGCCAGTAGTGAGTGGGGTTCCCCAGGGCTCAGTATTCATCCTGGTCTTGTTCAACTTACTCATCAACGACGTGGATGAGGGGACCCTCAGCAAGTTCACCAATGACACGAAGCTGGGAGGAGCGGCTGGAACTTACGGAGGCGTGTGTCGCGT